GACCCATCCGGCCCCACCACGCCCCATCCGGCCCCGCCCCTCCGCCCGGTCCGGCGCCGCTCTGCCGCGCCGGCTCCCCGCGGCCCGCCAGCCATGGTGAACCTGGGCCTGTCCCGGGTGGACGACGCCGTGGCCAGCAAGCACCCGGTGAGAAGGCTGGCCTGGGACGCGGGCCCCTGACCTCAGAAGCTGACCTGAGCGGGGCGGGGGCCTCGGTGGGAGTGCCCTTATTAGGGAAGAGAAGAGGGACAGAGGTGGGGGACCCTGTTGCTGTGGAGATCGAGGCATCCTGGGTGGGCATGGGAGCAGGTGGGATGTGTCCAGGCCCCCAGGGCCTCACGATGAGTGGTCCCCTACCCCAGGGCCGGAGTGTGCCCAAAGGAGGGACGGGGAACTGAGCCTTCAACCCCCTCCCCCATCCCAGGGACTCGGGGAGTATGCCGCGTGCCAGTCGAACGCCTTCATGAAGGGCATTTTCACCTTTGTCACAGGTAGGCTGGGTCCAGGTGTCTGTCCTGGGGTGTGAAGAGACCTCACCCTCCTGTCTCACCCTGACTCCCCAGCAGGTGGCGCCAGGTCGCCAGCCCGCAGTGCTCGGAGCCTGGCAGGTGTCGCGAGCACTTAGGCCGAGAGCCCCGTGGTCCCCTGACAAGCCCCGTGGACGGGCTGGCTGATGCGGACCATGGCTCTTGGCAGGCACCGCTGCGACCGTCGGCCTGCAGATGCTCGTTCAGAGGAAGTTTCCGTACCCCTTTCAGTGGAACGTGCTGGTGGCCGTGGGTGGGTACTCCAGGACTGGTGCCTGGCGCCCCTGAAATGCACCCCTGTTGCCGCTGGCTCTTCAGCAGAAGTGGATCCCACTAGGGGTGGGGGGCTGTGGTTCCGGGCATCCCTGCCTCCGGGGATGGGGCTCCAGTTCTCAGTGGGAGCCCTGCTGGACCCCACCGCTCCCAGGAAGAAACCTGCACCCTGCTCCCTTCCCCTGACAAGTGCAGAGGCCCCGCCCCCCTGCCCACTGGCCCCTGCCCGCCTCTCCCCAGTCGCAGGCTCAGTGGCCAGCTACTGGGTGACCCGAGTGGAGTCGCAGAAATGCAGCAACCTCTGGCTCTTCCTGGAGACAGGGCAGCTCCCCAAAGACATGGACACAGGTGAGGGTCCTGGGGGCAGCAGGACGCAGAACCGAGGCTCCATTCCCCGGGCGTAGGCGGGACAGACCTGTCCCCTTGACACGCGCATGGGGGTGGGGGCGGGAGGGAGGGGGCCTGCGGCAGACAGAACTTCCAGGCCCTTGTGCAGGAGGAAGACCCAGGAGGGGCTGGGTGGCCCTGGGAGGGGCGAGTGCAGAGTGAGGAGGGTGGGCACCCCGAGAAGAGCGGCCGGATTGAGAGGCCCCGCACTGGACATCAAGCTGATTGATCTCAAGCCTGGCCTCCACTGCCTGCATCCCTCCTGTTACAGGCCTCAGTTTTTGCCCCGGTAAAATGGGCACAGGGACCGGGCACAGCTTTGGGGTGTGGTTCTAGCTGTCTCCCTTTGCCTCTTACAGATCGGCACAGCTAGGAGAGCTCCAGCCAGGGCACTGAGGACCTGGGGCCGGAGAGTTCTAGAACACAGCCCTCAGCACCTCTGCACCCCAGGCTGGCCTCCCCACACCCATGTCCCCTGCACACATGCATGGCCAACTCTGTCAGACCTGTGCAAACTGCTCCTGCCCAGCCTGGATGCCCAGGTCAGACCAGGAGGTGCTGCCCCTGGGTGGCTGGCCTCCTGCAGGGCAGTGAGAAACGTGGTGGACACAGAGCTGGAGAAGACCAGGCCTGTCTCATGCATATTTGGGGGCAGCAGCTCTGGGGTGGCGGTTGGGCCTTCTGCACTTCTTGCTGCTGATACGCCCTTTCTGACCCCTGCATCCCCCCGCCCACCCCAGTCAGAGCTGACAGCTGCCGCTGGGGGTTGTGGGACTAATAAACACCTTTTGCTGTTTCCCGTTTCCCGCCTGAGTTCTAAAGCAGTTGGGAAACAAGTCAGCGCAGTAAAAAGATGAGAGAAATGTCACCTCGGTACCATACAGCTGATTGGAGGAGGTGCCAGGGCAGTTCCTAACACCGAACCCCAGGATTAGACACTCTGGGCAGCCCCCATGGGCCCTCCATGCGGGGGTGCTTCTGTACCGCCTGGCACAGAGAAGCAGGGCAGACGGTGTGCAGCCACGCAGCACCTGGCTTCCAGGAGACAAGGGACAGGAAGTGGCCACGCCCAGCTGCCTATCATTCCAAACCCACCTATCAGATTAAGTCACTTCTCCCCTGGGGAGGAGGAAGTGAGTGGTTCAGGAGGCCAGAGTCAGCTTACTGGAGCTCTGTCCACATGGAGGAGTGTTCCTGGGTGGGCAAGACTGCCCACCTCACCCACCCCCAACAGAGGGAGAGGCAGAGATTATATAACACCTGGGCAAATCCACCGTCCTTTATAGCAAGCTTCCTGGTAACACTGAAGGCACACAGGGCCGCGCTGCTCCAGCCCCAGCTCCGCCCCTGCGCCTGCTGACATAGCCAGTCCCGCAAAAGAACGTCTACTGCACGCTCACTGTGCACCAGGGAATCTGTTCGTGGGAAGGCAAAACGACAGGAAGCCCGAGATAACCATGGCATAAGCAAGCTAGAGTTTTCATTTTCTTTCATGGAAAAGCTCAAGTGGGTGGTCTGGGGCTGTATGGAGTCAGGGACCCAGGCTTCTTTTAGCGTGTTCCGTGCTGTAATGGCCCTCATTCCAAATCCACCTCATGGTCCCAGGCAGCTGTGCTGGCTCCGGACATCAGGTCTTCATCCCTGTCAACAGGAAAGAGAAAGGGGGAGGAGGAGGGCAGTTCACTCACTTCTCTGAACACTGCATTGGCTAGAACTAAGTCATGTGCGACGCCTAGTGCAAAGGCACCTAGGAGGGCAGCTTGCTCTGGGCAGCCTCGTGCCCACTAAAATTCAGGGGTTCTCCATCTGAGGAAAGGAGAACCAGTATTGGGGCACAGGCTCTGCCTCACACCCTGGGAGAACACGGGCATCAAGGGAATAGACCCTGCCCACGGCAGGCCCTCCCAACCCCCTGAGGGAAAGACCTGGGCTCAGAGGGAGGGCAGAGGGGGAACTTTTAGTTTCAGAGGGAACTGGACTCACTTTTTAAAAAGAGAGTGACCAGAAAAGTAAAGGATCTGTTTGAGAGGTCACAGAGAAAGATGGGTGCTGTAACAGCGCATGGGTGAAGACTGTTGTTATGGCTGAACTGTGTCTCCCAGAAACTCACAGTTTGCAGCCCTAGCCCCCAGGACCTCAGAATATGACTCTGCATTTGGAGACAGGACCTTTGAAGAGGTGATTAAGTTAAAATGGGGACGGGCCCTCATCCAGTCTGACTGGTGTGCTTATAAGAGGTGATTAGGACACAGATGAGTACAGGGGAAAGACCCCACGAGGACACAGCCGTCTACAAGCCTGGGAGAGACGCCTCAGGAGAAACCAGCCCTACCGACACCTTGGTCTCAGACTTCAAGCCTCCAGGATGTGAGACAATAAATATCTGTTGTTTAAGCTGCCCGGTCTGTGGTGCTTTGTTAGCAAACTCATGCAGGTTGGAAGAAGTAAGCCATCTGATGTGCACCCCTGGAATCCCAGGCTTGGGCCACAAGGCTGTAAGGGAAGCTTGTGCTGGGGGTGCAGAGGGAGGGGACTGACTCCTCCTGGAGTAAGTGACAGCTAAAGCTGGACCCAGGACTTCCCCAGGGAAGTGGGGGTGGAGCAGGGAAGGTCAGGGAGAGATGGTGTAGTCAGGGCCGAGGCTGGGGGTCTCACGAGCCAGGTCACCAGGGTTGGAGTTTGAACTTGGAGTGGGGTAAGGGAATAGAGACCCTGTAGGCAGTGAGAGGTCAGAAGTTTTAGGAGGCTCAGTGGAGGACACTGGGGGTGTGGGGGGATGGGGAGGGTGCAGTGGCGCCACCGTGGGGTGCAGTGCCACTGCCAATCACCTCGGAGAGCAGCCACGAGACTCGTGTCCAGGAGAGCAACCCCGAGGCTGGCTGGGGGCAGAGGGTGGGGTCGTCGGGGTGGGCCAGGAATTCCCGGGTTCCCTGGGTGTTGAGAACCTCCGCCCCCATCACAATGGGCCGAGATTCCAGGAGCAATCTGAACTGTGGTTCTGCGGGGCAGGCTCAGCACAGAGAGGGTGGGGGGTGCGGATGGGCCCTGGAGGGCGCCGTGGGCTGCCATGAAGATCCGTAGTGAGGCGGAGGTGGAGGCAGATCCAGGAGCTGAAGGCTATCACTCGGCTCCAGGGTGCGGCTGCCGCTGGGGTGACCCAGGGCCTCCGGGGCTCCTGGGGGCAGGACTTACAATCTTAACACACGGACGGTCCAGGGCATATGGACTGGGGGCCACTCTACTGCTCACCCCCAAACAGAGCTGGGGGGAAGGGATCGGAGGGGTCTGCCATGCAGGGGGCAGGGGGAACAGAAGCTGGGGGCTTCAAGGAGATTTGTGAGCACGGTGGCCTCAAAGCCAGAGGGGACAGGAGGGGATCCACCCACTTCTGTGGCTAGAGGGTCTGGAAGAAATCACAGGCCTGCCCGTCCCTGACTTGCACCCCACCCTCCCCACCTCCCAGCACTGCTGTCCACTGAGAGCCGTCCAGATGAGCACTGCTGAGCAGCGAAGCTGGCCCCCATGCAGGCTGGGAGGAAGGAGCGCGGCCTTGGAGACAGCAAACTCACGCCCCCACCTCTGTCCTCCCCGGCGTGGAGCCTGCCCCACCCGGGAACCCCAGCCAGGCCCTTGGCCCTTGGCCTACATCCTGGCTGCCCTGTCCCTCCACACAGAGCAATGTCGGGCGCTGCAGATCCAGGCGGTGAAGGAGACCACGTTCAAGAACAAGGCCACGCTGGCTGTCCTGCGCAGCAACATTTGCCGCGAGTCCCACGAGTGGGCTTTGGCCAAGAAGGTGGACAGCGAGACCCTCCCTGCTACCTGCTGGCTGGGGGTGGGGGGGCGGGGCACGTGCTGAAACAGCCCTTCCCCCAACACAGGTGGACAGCTGGCACCTCCTCTCCTTTCCCCACTCTAACCCCAACCATTCTGAAACTGGGTGGAGGGGGGCGGTTTCCCCACCACCCACCTCAGAGGGCAGGGCCAGGGGCCCGACAGAGGTCCCTTTCCTGGGCTACCCCCTGCAGCAGCCATATAGGGGAGCCAGGGACCCGCCTCTCTGGACCTCCATCACATCGGAGCAGGGATGGCCTGGATGGAGTCCTTCAGCCCTCTGCCCCTTGTGGCCCCAGGAGCTGGGGTCTTGCTGCTAGGCTAGCACAGGGCAGAGGAAACCCGGGGAGAATCCCTGGAGGGGCCGGCGGCCGGGGCGGGGGGAACGCAGAGGGGCCAAGCCCCCAGCTCAGCCGCCGCGCCCCACAGTATGACCAGCGGACCATCTCCAAGGCCTGCGGAAAGGACGTGCCCATGAGCCTGGCGCACAGCCGCTGCACCACGGAGGTAAGGCAGCAGGGGGGACCCGTCAGCCCCGCCCAGCCAGTGCACCCCAACTAAACTATGATGTGGAGCCGGTGGGGAGCAGAGCGAGTTCCCAGCCCCAGCGTCCGTGTGGCGTTGCCGCGGGTCCCTCCCCGCCCGCCCAGATGCAGGCGCGCTCCGTGGCCCCTGAGCACCCACGCGCGGGCCATGCCCTCCCCGACCCAGGTGGCGCGGGAGAAGCTGCGCAAGTACGTCTTCGACCGCGTGAATATGCACAACGTGCTGATCGACCTGGTGCGGCGGCGCGAGCAGAAGCTGGAGAGCATGCAGCTGGAGCTGGCCAGCCTTAAGAACCAGCCCGAGGCCACCAAGGAGGAGCCGCGCATGCTGCAGGTGGCGGCGGGGAGCGGGGCGGGGCCTCCAGTGTGATGGGGGCGGGGCCACAGGAGGAGGGGCGGGGCTCTGTGGGAGGGCGGGGCTAGATGAATGAGGCCCCCTTGGAAGAAAGCCCAGCCCCGCCCCCGCCGGCCTCTGCACTCCCAGGTGGCCTGTCCCCACGCACTCTCAATGTGCCCTTCCTCCCCGCCCAGGTCATCCGTCAGCTGGAGAACAACATAGAAAAGACGATGGTCAAGATCACCACTAGCCAGAATATCCACCTGCTGTACGTGGACCTGCCGGACCACCTGAAACAAGTGAGCCCCTCAACCCACACCCGGAGACCGAGACCGCATCCCGGTCCCAGGGAGCCCAGCTGGCCAGGAAGGGCGGGAATCTCGGCGGGGGCGTGCCCTCCGGGTTAGGCTGCCCCGCAGGCGCGCAGCTCTCCTCCAGGCCGGGTGACCCCGAGAAACGCTGAGCCCAGCTTTGGGCACCAAGCTGAGCAGCGGCACCTTGTAGGTGGGAAACGTTCTTTCAAGAATTTATTTGCTATTCCAAAAAGGCATATCATGTGCTACATCAGAATTGTTTGTTTTTTGGTTTTTTATAAATTTAGTGATTTATTGACTTATTTAGTTTTGGCTGCTTGGGTCTTCGTCGCTGCGTGCGGGCTTTCTCTAGTTGTGGCGAGCAGGGCTACTCTTCGTTGCGGTGTGCAGGCTTCTCATTGCAGTGGCTTCTCTTGTTGAGGAGCACAGGCTCTAGGTGCGCGGGCCTCAGTAGTTGTGGCTTGTGAGCTTCAGCAGTCGTGGCTCGCGGGCTCAGTAGTTGTGGCTCACAGGTTCCAGAGTGCAGGCTCAGTAGCTGTGGTGCATGGGCTGAGTTGCTTCGCAGCATGTGGGATCTTCCCAGACCAGGGCTCAAACCCGTGTCCCCTGCATGGGCAGGTGGATTCTTAACCACTGCGCCACCAGGGAAGTCCTGTTTGGGTTCTTATTTGATGGTTTAGTGTTGTTTTTACTTTGCCCCATCGTTTCTCATCCCCTGGCTTCTGAGGCCAAGAGATGGGTCCTGCACCCTCAGAAGTCCCCTAAC